TATATTATATTATTATATGTACATCTAATTCTAATAGTACACATTTTGTTATACAAATTCTTAAATTTTGTACCTAAAGTAATATTGAATTTATTTATGTGTGTATTTGTCAATTTCTCAAAAAGAAAAACAAAATATATAGTCATATTATATTTTTGCTAATAAAGTATAGGTGCGTAAAAACCATATCATATACATATGTACATAAAATATATAAGGTAAAAGCCTACACACTAAATGTCAAATATTATGTTATATTACTTTCATTTTTTTTTTACAAAAAGAGAAGAGTATATACGGCACTATAAATATATACTTATTACTGAATATACTTAATATCATATGCATATACAATATTTACTATGCACGTATATTGTGTATATCATACTGCCACTACATTGTATAACACATTATATACGTCTATCTAATAAAAATTAGACGTACTATATGTGTGTAGCGGATTTATATAAATAAATTTGTAGTATGATATTTAATACATTCTTTTCAGCCAAAAAATTTACAGGATGTAGATCCTACATTCATATCCATACATACACACATGTAAGCAAATGTGTATAAAAATATTCAAACGATTAAATATATTGGTGTAGTTGCCTATATTATATATTGTTATATGGGACATTTAAATAAGAAAAGGACATTTAAAAAGAAAAACGACAGAAGGCAAATTTTTTTTTTGCTTTTAGATTTTTTACTATACATAATTATTTTTTCTCCCACTAACGTTCTTTTATATTTTCTTTCTCTTAATTTTAATTTATTAACGTTGTGTATTGGATTGCATCTCTATAAAAAAAAGGGGGGGTTTTGAGCATCTGACATTCAAAAAACAAAAATTTCATCTATTTATTTTCAGGTTTCCGAAGAAAAGAAAAACAAAACCAAACACAAAAAGAAACTCAAAAAAAACTTTTGATATATTTGTGAGTTTGCTTGACGCCAACGCTTGCTTAAGGCGCAAGACTTTGTGAGCGAATAATTTTTTCTGATTTTGTTTTCTTTGGTTGCCTTTCCTGAGAGCTTTAATAAATGGGAATAAAATTTTTTTTTCGCTCTTGCATTTTTTTTTATTATTAATTTTTGAGTACCTACTAAGTTCCTTTTCTCTTTTTCACACTTTACCGTTTTATTTTTTTTTGATTCAGCTTTACACACGTTTTCTTTTAATCGCTTATAATTTATATATATTTTTTTTATTGTTTTGATTTTTTTTGAAAATTCATATGTCTACTACAAATATATGTACATACATATAAATAACTGTATAATTTTAAAAAATATTTTATATGTCTTGATTAGACAAACTATCAGTTTATTATTATGGCAGACATTATAAATGTTGATAAAATTTAAAACTGGCGTGCTAGGAGAAAAAAGAGGGTTATGTTGATTACCATATTTAATAGAAGCATTACAAATTTTTCAATATTTGATCAAAATTAAAAATTAGTTCACAATATAATTACAGATGAAAAAGGAAATTTTAAAATTATCATGGTAATATTAAAATAATTGTCGCTGATCTTGCAGAAACTGCACTTGTACTTTACTGTTACCCAACTTACAATTATAATGAGTACATTATTATTGCTATTTTCATGCCATTTTCTCAATTTTACAAGAATTTTTTTTAATTATTATTTGAGAAATTTCAATTAGCCGCATAAAGTAATTGAAAATTTCGTATATTTATTAAAATTTACAAAATTTAATGAAGATATTCTAATTCAGTTTTTAATAGCATACCTCTTGTAATGGACAGCACAATGAAAATGATATTTTAAAAATTCTAATATAGCTTCTAATAGCTTTATTTTTTTTAAATAACTGTACATCTTGTACTTGTACTTATGGTTTATATTGAAATACTTATTTCTTTACAGTTAAATTATTATCAGCTATAACTCTATTGAAGCTATATACCATTACTAACTTCAATCTGAGTCCAAACATAGATTATTATAAACTATCTTATGAGTAAATTTGAAAATTAATAAATACGCCTATAGCGCTCAAGTTAAAATAGCGTAAGTTGAATCGGCTATCAAAATGTATTAATACATTTTTTTAATTTACCTTTTTTACATTTAGATATACATTTTTTTAATATATGTTTGGACACTTTCCTAAAGATAAAATCATTTGCAATCTACTTAATTAAACAATAACAATTATAGCTGAATAAGTTACCGTTAAATTAAATCTGGTTTTAAGAGGAAGTAAGTAAAATTAAGTTTTTAATAAGGATCTAAATGTATATAAAATTTCTATTTCCTTTTCAACAAAATATAGCGAAATATAAAATAAAGGACATTTGAATATATCCAAATTTATCATCACAACTTGTCTACAATTTCAGATGCTGAATAACTAAAATTTACATTAGAACTGTTTTCAGCTTTTTAGTTCTTAATTTTTTGACATTTTATATAATTTTCTTATGAAAAGGGCATTAAGACGAGTTTGTGAAAGAATCATTTTTTCTATGTATGAGCATGCTGTCACACATAAGTAAAACTATAATTTTGGTATCAATTCAAATACTATCTATAGATAAAAATATATACGGAATATACGTAAAAAAATGTACATAACAAATCATTTCAGCCGGTGTTGTTAAGAGTCCCATACGTTATCATACAAAAAATCACACATAGCATATAGAATTCTGAATTTAATAACAACATATAGATAATTAAAATGTTAAAACTCAGAAATACGTTCCAGTTGATGTTTAAACGTATGCAACTTATTAGAAAGTTGTCCAGGTTTCATTTGATCTTTAGTTTATCGCGACATCATTAATGTTTTATAAGACATAAACTTTTATAAATTGTTTAAAATGTTATCTCCAAAAGATCTTTTTGTTCTTCCAAATTGTTTTTATTTCTTGCTCTATCAATATGTAAACAGTACGTGTGAGATACACTCATTCCTAAAATGCCCATCCGAAAAGTTCATCCAAGAAGCCATCCGAAAAAATCAATTCAATATTAATTGATTTCCCCGAGTACTTTTCAAATTATCAAATAATAATGTAAGTGCAACTTTAATATATACAAACTTTCTATAACTTTCGCAGCAAAACCTCTAATTTAAAATTCCTTAGAATAATGCATATATGTATTCATAGAATATTAAATTTTGATACTGTGCTACTGTGCTATTTTTCATATTAAATTTCACTTTTTTAATTTTTTTTTGTTTAAATACAATGTTGCAATGAATGTACAAACAAATAAATCTAACAAAAACAATTTGCAGAATTATATGAAATAAAAATCATACCCTCAATTTGCATTGGCATTATTTCAAATTCAAAGGAATACAAAAAAACAAAGACTAAGGAAAATTTCATTTGGCAGAAATTGAAATTAAACACAAATTTCAAATTCAAAAAATAAACCAATTCGCATTATAACAATTTTATGATAAACTGAAAAGATACCAACTCTTTTTTTCCATACACCTATCTAAAGTAATTCCAGGTGGATATGAAAACAACACGGCAAGTAAACAATAATTTTATATTCTTTTGGAACAATTTTAAGTTTAAATTTTTTCTCTATATTTTGTATCCATTAAGCAATTGCTTATAAACTAGAGGATTCTTTGTATTTCGATGAATACGTAAGTGGGTACATTTGTACAAATAACTAGACTTTACTAACTTAGTATAGGTAGACACTTGATCTTATCTGGTATAAATGGTTTACTTTTGTTATAAGTTACACGAAAATATTTGGAAAATTAATTTTTAGAAAATTAAAACCTTGTAGGTATTCACATAAATTATTAATATTAGCGCTTTTTTTGTATATTTTTTTAATAAAAATTTAAGAGATTTATAAAAAATTAAAATAATTATGAACAAGAAAATTATTTTGTTTTTTTTCCCTAATTTAATAATTTTAACATTATTTTTAGTCCAACGCTGCACACTTGAAAATATAGAAAACGATAAAATAGTAAATAAGTATTTTGTTCCAATATTGCGATAAATACTATGTAAATTTAATAGTAATTTAACATTAAATTTAGTAGTAACGAATTGGAAAGCCAATTAATTAAAATGCTCAGCCAATTTAAATTGTTAATAACTATCCTCTTAAATTTTGTCCAAAGTCATCACTTAAAAAAGAAACATTAAAATATGGTGTCATACTCGACAGAATGTGTAATACTTTAAATCTAAAATTAGTACAATGGAATTTTTGGGTAACTTCCATTTCCGCAAACTTTGGCAAAAGCTAAATTTCATAAAAAACAATATAGGTACGTTACATACAGGTAAATGTAATTATGTAGTATTTCTTTCTATATTTTTAAAATTTAATTTATTAAAATTACATACCTATTTAATTTAATTTGTTTTTAATTTTATTATTATATAATTAGTTTCCAAAAGAAGGTTCATTCATGTTTAATACTGAAATTCTTTCATATAATAATAAAACAGTGTCTTCCATGCAATTAATAAGCAAAATTTATATGAATTTTAATTAATTTTATTTTAACAATAAAGCTTAAATTGCAATATTGTATATTCCACTTTTTAGTGTAATTAATTTCAGAAAAGAAATTTGAGTTTAAATAAGTAAATAGAAAAATATATGTAAATTCGAAACAAATAAAAAAAAGTGTTACCAGGTCATTTAAATGAGTACATCAACAATAATGCTAATCAATTATAAATATGTATCTCTATTACAACACAATACATACTTATTATTGATTATCCATAATTACCTCTCTTTAATAAAAATTTGTATTTATTCCATGTAAACTAAATGAAACCGAAATTTGATATAATTTAAATCGTTTTAAACCTCGCTGTAGTGATAGTGAAAATTTTAAAGGTTTATCTTCTTGAAGATGTAAATGTATTTACAGCATTATTTTTTGAGATATAAAATATAAAACTCCAAAAAAAACGAAACTTATCGATTTTCAAACGAATATTTTTATTTTTTCTTTAACAACAACAAACTAGAATCACACATTTTTAAAGAAAAAAAAAATTACAAAAATATTTGGAATAGGTGAATAAAATGTCTTTTATGGCAATCGAAGTATACATCAAAGGTGCAAAAATTAAACTATATAAAATAAATTATTTTATTAGGAGACTCTTAAGCTATTTTAAGCATCATGGAACTTATCACAATAACAATAATCAGTTTTATATTTCAGTTCTTAATTTAATTGAATTTAAGCATAAATTAAAATCGTATTGTTTTTTGTTTTCAAATAAATTTATTCATCCATTGAATTATTAGATGAGACATCCTGCGGTGAGTCCCTGCCTTCACGGATTCTTCTCAACTTTCTTTTCAATGTCATTATGCCTGCAAAAAATTATAAGATTGTAATAAATAATTATTTTGTAGTAATATTTTTTTCTTACATTTAATAGCTTGAAATGTTTTCGCCGAATAATTTTCTTTTTGTTGTGGTGGCTCTGCTACAGCATTCATTTTTTCCCTAGCTAATCTTATCTCCAAATATGATTTTCTTAATGTTTTAAAATGACGAAATTCTAACGAATCCTTTAATAAAATACATTTTGCTGCTGAACCCTCTCCTGCACAATCAGTTGGAGAATTGTGATAAATTTGATGATAAAAATATTGTAAAACCGGTGAATTCCATATTGATAATCCATACCATAGCCATATAAAAAGGTTTAAAGTAAATTTGAAATTTTTTGCAAATAATGTTGGTACCAGGTACTTGAACGGCAAGAGACTAATAAAAACATGTGACCAGGAAGCAATACGGAATCCTAATAAAACTTGATGAACCAAACGATTTCGATTAAAAGTTTGCAATGCTAACAAAAAAAGGCACTCAGTCATGATATTAAATATCCCTTGGTTCAAGTTTAATATTACAAAATAGTTTTCAAATCTAAAATATAAATACATATAATATGAAATGATAAATTTCAAATATAATTTAAGAACTTACTTGTAACAGATTAGTAAAAATATAGTCAACGTATACAGGAGCTTAGAGCCAGCTTCACAGTAGTCATTTTCCCTTAAGTCTAACATAGCCGCGTGTAAATAAAACGTGATTATAAATAAAGAATACATTTTAAAGCGTTCACAAGATTGAGAAACATAAAATATGGTGTTGTCACTCATTGTTGGAAATAATCTTGATGTATTTCTGACTAATTGAGGTGAGATCATATATTCATGATAGTAATATAAGAAAACTGCTGAAGATGAACAAAACGCAATATTCCAGATAGATCTTGCAAACTGTTTTCGTTTATAATATTTTATTTTGGATGATTTTAAAAAAACCTAAAATTTTAAAACAAAACGTTAATACCATGGCAACTCTAATTAAATTTTATCTTATACGGCCGACATCTATTGCAGTGTAGAAATATTAAAAACACACATGTCAACAAGCAATGTCAACAAACAGCTGGTAAAATTCTTCTATTTTAATTTTTCTTATTGTAGTTTTTTAAATATTTTACCAAAACTTGACCATAAAGAAAATACTTACATAAAATAATTCGTAAAATATATAAAATCCAAAACAAAATAGTATAAAAATCCAGAATAATTGATTTGTTATTTCATTGATATTCACACCATCAACAATAAGATATAATTTTTCCCGCATAGCCCAATGTATGTATAAATATAAATTTGTAATTTCAGTAAATCCAACTTTAAAATCTATTATGGACGACATTGTTGAATTTTATTTTGGACTTGCTTCTTTGACAACAATACTCTTAACGTTTAATAATTAACATTTCGTATTTTATATTATTATTGATTTATTTTGATTTGATTACTATTTTTAAACTAAAAATATTTTCTCAAAAATGTAAAACACTTTAAAATGTTGAAAATGATTGAAATGTCAGAAATATTTTGTTGACGTTTGAATTATGTATGATTTTGTCAGGAAAGATTGGATGTAAATGAAAAGTATCGATATATATTTGCATTAGAAATTCGAGAATCGATTTCGATATTTTTAATTTAAAATACAACATTTGTATAAGAAATTTAAAATTTAATTATAAATTAGTGAAGAGAGAAAATTAGGTCGAATATAAAGAACTAAACAAAAATAAGAATCATTTTATTAAAATTTGCAAAATGGTACGGGTATAATTCGGGATTTGTGTTCAAAATGTAATAGAAATAAGTTGTAAATTATAAAATAAAAATTTCCGGAAAGCAAATAACAAATGACAAAATTTATAAAAATCAAATCTTATATTAATAGCTTTTATAACAAATTAATTATAACTTACTGCTAATAAGAATAAAGACCCAACACTCTCAGATAATTAACATTTTTTAAATAAAATATTAATTGAGATAAGAAAACATTGAGTAAAAATTAGAAATTAAAAAGCTTTGATATACCACATTGGTTTTTAAACAAATTTTCAGTGTTTGCAATGATAATATACCTATAGCTTAAACCGCGTAAGAATTATTTGGACAACATTTTTATCAAAAGTTAAATTTCTTTCTCGCTTTTTCAAAATGTGCCTCAGAACTGTATTCAAATAACATAGATTTTATATAGTGTGTAATAAAGAATGAAAATAAAAGTGATTTTTAAGCGAAAGTAATATTAAAAGCAATACACGCAAGCCAATGCAATACAATGTAATGTGTAAGCATGCATATTTTCATTAACAACAACATAGATATAGTTTTGCAACTTGGTATACCGTTCTTGAACTATTCAAAATCATTAACATTTAAATTTCTTTGATAAAAGTATTCTATTTCTTTTATTAAAGCAACTTTGTTGAAATTGAAACTTATTAATATTGACAAAATATTGAGCGATCAATATGTATCCACTTATAAAAACGGAAGTAAATATCATATTACGAGTATGATAACAAGTTCACCGAGCAATTTCAAATATTTTATCAACGCTGATTTTTAAACCTCAAACAGATAATAGGCTACGAGTATATGTAGAAAAGAAAATGAGAAAAAAAATTATTAAATTCTAGTAACATGATAGCTTAAGTTTCTATAGTATATGCATATAAGTAGATCTACTATATATATGTAGGTTCAATGCGTAATTTTTGCTTATTCGCTTATTTGCTTTATTCTTCATAAACACAATTTTATATATAAATGGTAAATAATTAATTTTTATGTTTTCAGTTTAATTTTATTAGCGGCGAAGATCTCAAGTCTATCAATTAAAAGCAATTGAGAAACAAATGTACATAAAGCAAAAGTGAAAATGGTGAGATACTTTTAATTTCATATTATGTTTTTGTTCTTAATAATAAAATTTAAGCTTTAATATGATTAGAAATGATTGGAAATAATTCAAAATCATATTTTTCACTCATTAAAAGTGATAGATAAAAATAAATACATATATATTGAAATTAGCGCAATATTATTTATTATACATATAAACATTTTGCTCTTTAAAATTTCAAGTTTTTTTTTGAAATGTTGTTTTAATTGAAATTTAGTTTTTCATCAGATTTATTCAATATTTTTACTATAGTTCTATAAATCTATCAACAAATTAGATTTTATCTACTATACATAATTTTGTACTATATCTATAATGTAGTACATATGTTATATATTATATGATTGTAATTCTAAAACATAATATTATTGAGCAGAAAGCTCTTACTCATAGCGGCGGTATATCAATAATAGTCGTATATTAGAAAAAGAAAATATTTGTTTGTATATAAGCTTTACTCAATTCACAATTACATTATTAATTGCTATTCAATTATTCAAGGACGAAATTTTAATTTTTGAATATGAATTCAGAATTGAGTTTTCGTTTTATGAATTTATTTTAGGAATTTTCGTTTTAGCAGGAAAAAAATTTATGGAAACAACAAGTGAATTAGACAAATTATTTTATAATATAATTGATCTGTTTTTTTAAAAAAAGGCAACAGAGTTTAAAAAGAACAACAAAATATAATAACGAAACCAAAAAAACTCAATTTTGTGACAAAAATAAATAAAACAAAATCTGATTAAGTTGATATATGTCACTTCCATTCATATTTTTAACTACTGTCTAGCATTTTTAGTTAGAAAAAGTTCATTATTGAAATAATGTGCTTTAGTCTTGTCTTATAAATAAATTCGGTATAGTTTTTTATTCAGTATACAGTCATAAAATTTGTTAAAAAAAAAAAATTTAATTTTTAATGTCGTATTAGGAATAATGTCGCAAACCGAACAAAAAATGGTCCAAATTTGTATCATGTCGTAACTCGAAATGTCGTATTAGAAGATGTTGTATCTCGAGGACTTATTGTAATTGCAACTCTAATGCGTATTTTTGTATGGCCGATTAAAACGATATTGACATACCCTTACATTGACATAATTCTACGATAAATTTTAGAACAATTAATTGCAAACCATAGTCCTTTTTTGAAAATAATTAAATTAGAAATTTATTAGCAAAAAGCAAAACCAAAAAGATATACCCCTACTGTGTAACAATTTCATAAGAAGAATCGATTAAAAATAGTAACTGTTAATGACTGGCACTCCACTTAAATGCTTTAAGATATAATTTTATTAAAAATAAAGAGGAATTTAAGTTATATTTATTTTTAAATTTAGTCATTTAGTCATATGAATATTCCATCATGGTGTGTGATTGAACCATTTGTAAAAATATTAGAAAATTAATTATTGAAAAGCTTAAATCCGGATCATTCTTGTGATAAAATCCTAGAATTTACAAATTAACTACAGATTTAGTGTAGCTATTATATCGAATGGGAGGAAATGACATTTAAAATCAATTTTAATTCTCAGTTGCTTTGTCGACTACTGTTACTTTTATTTTTTATTACGATTACTTTTATTTTTGACAACCTAGATTTTTATAGAAAATTTAAAATTCTTATATGTTGCATCAACATGTTTTTACCATTTTAAACAATGAAACATCATAAAATAAATATCGAAATATGTAATGGCCATTATTGGCATTTAACCCATTTGAAGATATCTAATATTAGTTATAACATCACTTAGTTAATACTTTCTAATTTACTAAAATAAAGTCTCACATAAGAAGAACGAGATTTTATGCTAGTAAATGAATACCAAGTTTATTATACAGTTAAATTTAGTCCTTTCGAAATATAACAATTTGCAATACACTCATATATAAATAACTTCATATAAACATACATATATGTATATGTGTATATAAATAAAAATATTTTTAGTTGTAATTTTATTATATGTATATATATAATTTCATTATAACTCTTCATTAACAAGGAACGTGCTTATACAAGTAATTCTTCAAATCTTTCCCATATTAAGGAAGCACCGGATAATCCTATGGAATTATTTCAAAAATTTATCAACATTATGAGAGAAGAGAATGATTCAAGCACGATAACAATGTCTTTGGCTACAATAAACAAGTAATTTACAAAAATTTAACAAAAAATTATTAGGCATTCACACATAATTATTTACATTTGTAGAGAGTTTGGTGTTTTAAATAGAACAGTTCTTTTTAGAGGATTGTCTAAAAGAAGTGGAAATATAACTTTTGTTACTGAAAGAAATAGTCAAAAATATAAAGATTTACAAGAAAATCCTAAAGTTTCGGTTGTACTATTATTTTTAAAAGAAATCAATGGAAAATTACAATATCGTCAGGTAAATGTATTAAGTGTAATAATTTGAAAAATATTTGCCTCTTTTGAATTAAACAAATAATGCATTTAATTTGATAAAATAAATTTGTTTTTAGATTCGTGTTCATGGAAGTGCTATTGAGCTTTCAGAAGATGAAATTGCTGAACGTTGGAAAGAGGAACCAGTATTTGCAAGAATTCGTAGTAAAATGGCTAGCTGTGGTGCACCAGTGAAATGGGATGTTTTAAAAGAAAAACATGACCAATTATTAGAAGCTTATAAAAATGGAGAAGAACCTTTAAATCAAAGCGAAACATAGTAAGCTTTAAATTATAAATTGAATTTTTGAGTTCAAACACTACAAAACTGGTACTGAAAATTTAATACAATACCACTGTTATCACTAATTGTAATCCACCATACTATACCATAGCAATCTACTTTAACTTTCAGTCATAGATTTAAGCATCTGACTTAAATATGTACAAAATTATTATCTTTTGTATTTATTTTATATAAAAATCTGAATTTGTTTTCTGTATTTTAGCACATCTTTTGAAATAATTGCTGATTCAATAGATTTTTATTATGCTGAACATGAAGCTATTGGAGATAGAGTTATATATCGTAGACATGAAAATGATATTTGGACTCATGAGCACGTTTTCGCATAAATCTATCTATTAGTTGTTCCTAACTACTAAGAATCTCTGCTTGATATTACATTTGACGAAATAAAAGAATTAATTATTGAAAAATGAAAATTATATACAATATTGTTTTTATTTTATTTATTTTTCATTTTGTTAAATTTAACATTAAAACAAGAAAAAAACTATTTAATATAAAATTAATATTATTTTACTTTAACTAACAAAAAGAAAAACATAAAAATGATTACTTGTTTTTGCTTTTTAATAAAATAATAATAATTAATATTTAATAATAAAAATTAATAAATATACAATTTACATTAATTTCTATAATAAGAATTTATTTATTACCAGCTAAAAGTTAACATCTTCCCTTCTATATTTTGTTCCTAACTCTAACAAATAACATAACATCTAGCATTATTTTTGATTACATAATAATATTTTTTAAAAAAACTAATTTCTTATATGTATTCCTAAAATGACAAATAAAAAGATGTATTTGTTATATGTATAAATAAAATAATTAAATAGTTATTATAATTTAACATATTTTTATTAGAAGAGAAAATATTAAATAAATATTACTAATTGTATAAACAGCATAAATATACAAAAATTGTAATATTAAAAAATCTAAATAAGAAATTAAAATTTAACATTACATATACATAATATATTTAAACAAAATTAACAGAAAATGAAACAAAATAATCTAATGGCAGCTCTCTGTACAAAAACAAAATTTGTTTTAGGAAATATTTTTATAGAAATTTCATTTTCAAAATGCATTTTACGTAATCTTAATTTCAAATTTTCAATAAGTATAGTTAATTTTTCTTTGAATTTACATTGTATGTATGTACATTCATATAAATATAAAAATGATTTATGATTTGCAACAAATTCATTGGTTTTGTTTCATGTTAAATTATTAAATAATAATTTCAATTAATTTAAAATTATAAAATAAATAAATAATTAAAAATTTATCATAATGCATTTATTGTATCACGTATCCAAGCTGAATTTGATGTTATTTTATCATACATTCTTGGACGTTCGACACCAGTCGGACCGCAACCAATTCTCCATGATGAAATACCAACAATAGCCCATTGATTTGTATCAGGTATTAAACAATGTACAGGACTGCCAGCAAATTCTTCTTCCTAAAAAATTACAAATTTTTTATAAATGTACGTAAACAAAAATGTTAATTCATGTTAATTATGTGTAATCAACTTAATGTAATTTATTTTCTTTTATAATTGTTAAAAATATATTGCTTAGTTTACTAATTGAAATACATGTTTGTATGTAAGACTTTAAATGTTTAATCAATTTAAATATAGTAAGTAGGTATAGGTTTTTGGTTTATCGAAAAAGGTTTGTCAACGCAGTCAAACCAGGTAGGGAGGTACAAAATATTCTAACAATGTGATAACAGTTTTGTACAATATGTAGACCATTATATATACCTGCATATGTAGATACATGATGTACATATAATATGCTTCTATAATTATTATTTTGCATGCAACAATGTTCAAACTTTGAGAAAACACTGTTCCTACATACATTGTACATTGTATGTATGTACCCAAGTTAGGCTTATCGCAAATTCTTTAACGTCAAAATTTTGTTTTCAGTCTGCAAACTGTCTGACGTATAAAACTTTTACGGACAGAAATGTAGTAAACTTTTTACCCGTAATTGACTTTGAATTTTGATCATCCGTAAACGTCAAAACAAAAAAAAAAATTTTTTTAGATTTAAAATAATTTTATACTTACATATTAAAAATTAAGAAAAAAAATATTTTTTATATTATTTTTAACGTAATGATAGTCACTCAATACATCTAATTTATTTACTGAATTACTACGTCAGACTGTCTGCATGTAAAAAAAAAAAATCTGCAATTTTGACGCTTAATTGACTTTTTTTAAACGTATAAGAATTTAAACTTTGACTTAAAGTAAAAACGCAGTAGAGTATTCGTAAACTCAGACAACTCAAATTTTGTAAAATTTGACGTTTAAGAATTTACCATTAACTCTTAATAATCAGGTAAGTACATACATATGTATGTATGTATGTGCTTACATTCGTATGAAAAGTTTTATTGGTTAGTATCCTCAACATGTTATGAAATATCCCTATAAGAATTTTTGTTTCAATCGCGTCCGAACATGCAATAATTTTAATTTAAAATAGCATTGTAAATAAGAATTACTAATGTCAGCTGATACGTCATACACATGTTTGTATGGGTGTCATTCAAAATGTTTCAGTTATTTTGTTTTCATTATCAATTTTGTTGTTATTTTTCTCTCAAGCATATCCGTTTGTCATATTTTCATATCTAACAAAACAATTTAAAAACTGACTTGTTTAAACATGTTGAGTTGCAAAAAAAAAAAGACAACACAAATATCGAGGGGTGCTGTGGTTTCAATACGGCTACTATTACACTTTATAAATGTACATATGTATATAATGTTATTGAGTATAAATTATGTATAACATTTATTTTATGCTGCTCAACAGCTCAAATTCAACATGTTTATTATTATTTTTTTTCTTTTTTTTTTGTGACGTCATCGGTATCTGTTAACAATCTATATACTTTGCACCCAGATTAAATTCATTCTTTTTTATTCCATTTACTTCAATATGTGTACATTTGTACAGCGTTTATGCATTAAGGATACAATATAAAAACAGACGGAAAGATACTCGTGTCATTAAAGAAGATACATTCTTATATACATTATGTACAAGAGTATGAAGTTCATATACAAAAATAATAATCTAGAACATACATACATGTGTGTGCCATTAAATTCTTCATAAAGTGGCGACCATTTGTACTTTGTTCATATATAGTAAAAAAGAAGGGTCTACATACCTACCATACCTTCAAGTGTAAGGCAATTAAAACCGGTAAGTGAACATTTTTGGAAAACACTAATTTGTAATAAACTCTAGAACGTTTAGAAAAACAACTCAATATGGTCTCAATTGCTCACAAAATTTCTAATAATACAATATCCAGGTAATTTACGAGAACAAATTTTGGAGAAAAATATTAAAGTCACCTAATCGAGATACCTGTTCTTATAATATAACATACTTATACGTACATATATGTATGTATAATAAGAATTTGGAATTAAGTTATAGAAGAGATACAGCTCCAAATGAGATTTTGTTATTGAATCAATTAAACAGTATGTTTTTTGAATAATGGTTGATAATATTATGTGCTCTAAACTATATAGAATCTTGTTATATTTTAACACTCTTGCCAGAAGGCTTTATAGTGTACAGATCTGTGGCAAGAGTGTTAGATAGTCTTCATACTTCAAGATAATCTTAAACTACATAAGTCAATGAATAATCTATTTTATAGTCCAACAAAACGATAATGTTTAACATTCAAATAAACATGTTGTATTGAGTTTTATACCTACATATATAAATTGATAAGGTATATAAAATAATATACATATGTATATACGAGTAAATAATATTTTTATATTCTTCCACAACATTGAAAATTTTAGGTACCTGCCAAACAAACTAATAAAAATACGATAATAATTTCACCCAACATTTTTATTGTTATTGTGTTTAGAAGAAGGTATATGGTCACCATAAACAAATTTTTGTTATTATTATACCTTCTTCCTCTCTAATCTCTTTACCTAAACTAATAAGTTGAATTTTCAACTGAACACAACAATTTTAGTTCAAACATAAAATATTTGTTGAAGTGAAAACATTAAAATTAAAACTCGCAAGAAAAAAAATAAGAAATAAAGGATGTGCTGCTCAACGTTGAAATTAAATAAAAGGAAGATAAAATTTTGAATGGAAAATATTTTTTTTTTCGTAAAAAATTTGCAAAAGGACACGTAAAAATTTCAATTCCGTTCAGTTACATAGTTCAGTACAAGAGAAACATTCGTGCGATTAACATTGAAAATTTTTAATAAAATTTGTGCCGGTTTTAATTTGATTAAAAAATAATTTAAAAAAATAAGTTGATAATTTTAATTAATAACGTAAATAAAAAGTGAATCAACAAATAATAGAAAAAAAATGATTAAACAAATAATGTTAAAAATATCATTTGAAGGCGTTCTAAATTACATAACATTAAAGGATAATTTAACACTCTACAATTTAATGGAAAAAAGTAAGTTTAAACTGCAATTATTTATTTTATAAATTTACAAAACTGAAATAAATTTTTATTTCAAATTGAATCTGTAAAAATTCGGGGGCACAATCTATATCTAGTCGCGGTGCACGGTTACCCATTCCGTGCAATCTACAATAAAAATTTGAAATATTTAAAATATTTTCGTGAAACTAATAATAAAACTGAGCCCTTACTATGCACCATCTGCAGAATGGAAATGTAGTACAATTTCATTAAATAGTAGTACTATGCAAACTCATAGGAAGGCCTCCAGTGTCGAATTAATACAAAATTAATTTAAAAAAATTATTTCATATTTAAATGTTTTTGATTTTCTGGCGGACGAACTTTCTCAATTAATAATCTTTTCAGACTGATAAAATATGTTTGCATTCATGCATATTTCATGACCCTTACGCACAGTATTCGTTAAAGAATACATCTTCCGGCATTCAAAAATTGAGCATAATTGATTAGATTGTGAAATCAATTAAGTAAATATTTCATTGCAGTATAAGCTGTAGATTTGCAGAGATTGCAATGTAATTATTCTTTAAGCGGGAGTTAATGCAAAAGACGCGAATATAAACATAACTGATGTAAAATAAAATACTTTTCTCTTCATCATCAAAGAAATTTTACATGGCAAAGACATGTAAATTTTACATGAAAAAGACATGGGAACAGACAGTTTAAGCTATAGTCACTGCGTATGCAAAAATTATTTATACCTATACATAAGTATGTATAAAAATAAAAACAATTTGTGGATGATTTTAATAAGAAATTGCTTTATGATCCTTTCTGTACTATGTTTGATCTAAAATTTAAAGTATATTCTAAAAGTAAAAGCAATTTTGAAAGTATTTTTGAATATTCTTTTACTTATAACAGCTGTTTTGTTGATTTCTTTAACAAAATCCTTTTCATTTATGCTCTTTGATAATACAAAACAAAACGCATTTGTTCCGATTTCAGTTTCAAATATTAATTGTACGCACATTTAGTAAATCTAATAAATCTTCCTGTAAAAAAATATAAGGGGAGAACTGGAATATTATTATTGTATACAACAATATTCTTGCATCCTCAATTAAATGAAAGCAAAATTATTTAAACTGTAAATGTATATGTACTTGGCTTTGTACGCATAAGTTTTTGTAGGAAAGTGGCAAATGAAAAAAATAAATGTGAAAGTATTTGCTAACGATTTTGTTTGCATAGAGTAAGAGCTTGCTTTAGTCTGTGATATTATAAAATAAAAGTAAATTTTATAATTTTAAAAAATAATCATAAACATCCTGTTAGTCGCCTTACTTCATGTGATAAGTTTTTATTCAAAACTCTTGTAGTTTTCTGAATAAAATAAATTTTGAAATTCAAAATTCTATACTGAAAATAAAAATTCTCTTCAATAATTTCCCATCACGTCAAGTAATGCGACAAACAGAATATGTGCGAATATTCTCGATTCAAAATGGCCCCTTCCTAGCGCGAACATATAAGCAGAGTAAATGCAACATTTTTAAGGGACGCGGGTCTGATTATGGCAATGCCCCCTTCCCCCCCTAAACAATCAAGAATATTCAATTACTTATTTTTATGCATGTCACGTTGTCCAGTAATTAACATTCCACTTCATAATCCACCATTTCAGGTGGTTTTTATTTGCAAAATTCTGTGTTTTGCAATCCTTTTTGCAACTTGAGTATTGGTGCAAAATATAATATAATAATCTTTAAGCCACAAATCATAAATGTTAATGAATTTCCTTTTAATTATTATAATTTCAGTTATCGAACGTTTTCAAATTCCTGAAGATGATATTAATTTATTAGAATTATGTGATGAAGATGGATACTCATTTTGTGAAGATTCTTTTAATTATTTCATTCAGATATTTCCAGCACCGGAGAGGATATTTTATACTAAATTGAATTATCAAAAGATACAAGAACCATCAAAAAATCTTTCGAATATATTTTCAAAAGCACCAGAAACAAATAATGAAAAATTACAATCAAAAAAATCTGAAATAACAATACCAAGGAATAAAAGATTAACATTTAGAAATAATAATTATGGTGCACCAGTAATTCGTCAAAATTGTTTTATTGGAGAAGTTTTCGATTTTAAAGGTATAAAAGATTCTAATTATTGTACAACACAATCTCCTGAATATCAATCAAATAAAAGAAAAAGTTCAACAGCTTTTAATTTACCAAAAAGGATGAGGATTTAATTGACTCAATAACATATTCGTAATGTTCAGTAATCAGGCCTGAATAATATAATACAATTCGGTTTACGCTACTTTTAGCAAAAACGAAAATTTTAATGTAATAATTATATATGAGATGAATTTTTAGTTTTACGAAGTTTTTATTTTATTAAAATTTTATATTTATTTTTATTTTATTTTATATATTTTTTACTATTGTATAAAATTAAGAAGGAAAACCGTTTATAAATTGAATACTTTTATTTAAATATACATATTTAAAAATAAAACCAAACAATTTTATATTAAGATTTTTTGTTTCACTTAATTAAGCATGGACTATCATTTTATGAAACTGAAAACCCCTGACATCGGAATTGTGATAATGTCGTATCGATATAAGCTAAATTCTGCGTAAATACCATATTATTACAATACCGGTCTCGGAGAAACTCATACATGGAAAACAAAACCAATTTCAATCAGCTTGAAAATTACTGTTAATAGACAGAAATTTGACTGTTAACAGAAATGTGGCTATTATAACTGTTATGACTAATTCATGTTTCAATTTTATTTTAAATGTTCTTTCCCGCATTTTTCGTCATTATAAGCGATTTAATCTATGTTAAAACAAAAATGTTATATTAATGCGACGATTGGTATTAAAAACGGCAACTTACAATCCAAAGATGTTAAAAAATTAACAGATACATATAAATATCCTTTAATATTCATTCTTTATTTCTTGACAAATTAATTGATTAATTGATTCTTTCATTCCAATCAGCTATAGTTAAGATTCAATGTAAATTATTCCTTATTACTTTAAACCTTTGTATTCCAACCCAAAGCATTCGAGCAAAGAATTTCAATTAAAATTTTTCGTTTAATTTAAACTTTTCTTTTCGATTTTAAAAAGTATTCAATCAATAATTCGACTTGCTTCTTCCTTCAATCATAATTGTAAGCCCTATATCATAAGGACAATGCGTCCTAAACTAAACTTTTGAACTACATTTTCGATTCAATGGATGGCGTTTTCTATACTAGTAACATGATTTTGAATTCATACTTAAATTTTATAGTAATATTAAAAATTTTTACTTACCGCACAATCTTCAACATGAAAAGTTGCTTCTGTACACATACTATTCACAGTTGCAATAGAAACGTTTTCACATAATGCCATGTCACCAATTTTTAATTGAACTCTTTGTAAATGCTCTTTTTGTCTTGACCATCCTAGAGTATTACAATTAGTCCATACCTGTTCTGTATGACGATATGGTGGTTTTGTATAAGACAATGGCTCTGAAGTAGGCTGAGTCAATATTTCTGTTTTGTTTGACAAATTTTGATCACTTAATGCATCGGGATTTTTTAATGGCTCTGCAACCGGTATCTCTTTTATTACTGTCGCTTCAGTATCATCTTCTGGTTCAGATGTTGACCTAATTTTAATTGTACTTTGATCATAAGAATAAGGTGATAAAAAGAACTCTCGCCTTTCTTTTGGTGATATTCTAGTACTTCGAACGACATTACTCGATGTTGACTCTCTATTTTGCGAATTTAATTTTTCAGCTTTAGGTTTATTAGATTTACGGTCTGGTTTTTTGGCATTTTGGTTTAGTTTTCTGCCAATTTCATCAGGTAAACATATAGGACGTACAAAATCAGAAAAATGAACAGGAGTTTCTAATCGAACTAAAGCTGCTGTTGATCCTTCAACAGGACTTTTTACCATACCAATAATACGTCTACGCTGTTTCCAGGGTGGATTCGATTTTAACCTTACAGAACCGAAGATAGCCAACCATGTTGCCCGTGGTTGACCTTGAAAGCATGATTCTGTTGTTAGCACCCAATCAGCAGATATCTAAAATAAAATTTATATATCAATAGATAAATTGATATATAAATCTGAAATGAAAAAAATTGAACTTACCAAAGTTCCGTCGCAAACATGAGTTTCCTCACGATAAAGAGAAACAAACCATGGCCAATCACCAGGACTTGCCATTTTAGGAAGTAAAATATGTTTTGGTGAAAGTACTGACTGAACACCACATTGCAAATCGCTACACGTCACATATAAAACCTCTTTATTATGACAAGAAGTTCGTACAAAAGATATCTCTGCCGCATGGGGGTCCAATACTCGAACATAGTCCGAAATTTTTTCGCTATCATTTCGAATTTCAACCGAGCTCAGAGTGCTGGGAAAAATTTGTTTTTAAGAAATTTCTATTAAAATATAAAAAACCCAAACATACTCGTATCCTAATGATTTGCATAACGACTCAGCAACAGTTTGCCTGAGACCAACATTGATTTTACTCTCCAATCCTTCAGCACAAAGTTTTCCTATTTTTCCCTTCTCTGAAAATATCGCGAACCCTTCTGAATAAAATTTTGGAAGATAAGGAATTATTGGATTAGGTTGATCTAAATCTGTTGTCAATGGTGCCACTGATACTAAAAAAGTTTAAATATGAGAATTTTTAAGGAATTCAAAGTTATAATCAAACTCTTACAGCAATCTTTTTCATCCGCTCCATCTGGACAATCATTGTTTCCATCACATCGAGCTGTTTTTGGAACACAGGCACGGCCTCTTCCGCAATATATAGATTTCGAAGGACAGAAAGAGCATGATTTTTCATCTGATAAATCTGGACAATCTGCGATGCCGTCACATATTCTTGGCTGGAACGAATTACTCCTTAGATCATCCATACATCTTGGTTTTTGCCAACATGACTGAACTCCTGTAGACTCCGGGAAATTTTCACAATCAAATAATTGTCGAAAACGTTCTACTATTCGATTTTCGCAACTTTTCATAAATGATTGACAATATTCTCGACAAATTAAACCGGGCTGCGGTTCATATGGATCTTTTATTAAACATGGAGGCTGTAACATTCTACATATAAAATCATAAGCTTCACGAAAACATTCGGCATCAACCAATTCTCTAAATGCAATTAAATCGATTTTAACTTCTTCTATTGACATATGTCCTAATAAATTCGGATATGTGGTAACATTATAGCCTATTGTTTTGCAATAATCCAATTTAACTGGTTCGCAATATCTTGGTATTGGTGGTGGTAGTGTTGTTTCATAAATATCTTCACGTTCTAATGGTGATGCTGGTGTTAATTCAGTTTCATCGAGTGCACCAGTTATTTCTTTAATTTCTAAACTTGATGGTTCAACTGTTATATTTGCAAAATATTTTCTATCGTTTGATGCAATTTCCTCATTAAATATGGCTAAAAGATCCGCTGTTGATACTAAACCTCGATATGGATCAAATTTTAAAATAAATAATACTAAAAGATCTGGAAGTTCATCTTTTCTATAAATATAAAATGTAAATATTAAAAAATATGTAATTTAAATGCGAAAACAAGGATTAATATGATTTTAACTTACCCATCTAAAGCTAAAATTTCACTACCATCATAAGAATTTCTTAAATCTGATCGTTTTATAACTAAATTAATTCTTTCTCTATAATCTCTTGCTTTATGCTGAAATCTAATTGAATTTTGATTTGCTAAATCCATTGACCATTTATCACCTTGCGTCACTCGAAATTTTCCACGAAATATTCGTTCTGGTAGTGGCTCTGGCCTAAGGTACGTGTCTAAAACAACAATAAATATATTATTAATATAGCGTTATACATGCACAGCTGTACGTGAGATACTCGTATACGAGAAATTTCCTCATTTTGATAAAACAAAAAATAATTTTTTTTTTCTAATTTGCCCAAAACTTGAATCAATTCATTAGGCATAGAACAATATTTGAATTGTTTTTCTAATTCTTTTCACTATTGAGCTTAGGCACCTTTGATTTGGTAAAGGAAAGCGAAAATAGTTTAATATCTATTTAAATAGAAACTGTGACATAATAAGAGAAAATGCATAGTAAATCAGGAAAGTGTTTCAAACTGCAAAATTAAGCATTAATTTGAAAAAAATTTTACGCTTCTCATAAGAATGCCAAAAGAAATTAGTTTTTGAAAAACTCCCCAAATTTATCGTAAAAACTGAAAATTGCAGATGATATTAATTTGACTTTTTATATTTTCATTCATGTTCATGCCGTCGAAATAAAATTAAGGTAGGTTCACTCACTGAATATTATCTAATATAATAAGAGAATAATTAATATAATAAGAGAAATTAAATTTGTAGTCAAGCTAATAATTTCTAGCGTCGAAGTTAAGAAATTTTTGCCTGTAATTTCAGTGTACTGATTCAGATTATTCGCAAATAATCTTTAAATAATAAATAACATAAAAAATATTTACATCAATGATAGACAGCGGAGTTGATTAAATGAGGCGAGAAGTGAAAATCAAAAAATTTAATTTTCCATGTGATTTATTGAAAATTAATGAATATTGGAAAAACTAGATGGGGAAAAAATTTATGGACATTAAAAAGGAATACAATTTCCTTTCAACTTTAATAGCTTTTCTTTTAACACAATATTTATTATAATATGTTGTTTGTGCTCATGTAAAATTTCATATTTTCTCAGAATTTTGAAAATTATTTATAAATAAATATTTCGTTATAGTTTATTCTCGAAATTTATAATATGACAAGATGAATATTAATTACGACGGTATAATCTGAAAAGCAATTAATTTAGAATGTAATATAGTACATAATATCTTCTATATACACACACAATGGTAATTATTAAATGTTCTTTAAATCGTGAGAACGAAAATCAAACTTAATTAATAAATAATCAAAAAAAATTTGTATGTGCTGTAAAAATTACTTGAATTTTAAAGTAATTATTAATTTTATTGTTAATATAACAAAAAAAAATATATTTCTTGAGATGATGAAATTGTAAAGAAGAGAATATTGGAAACGTTGTTAATTATATGGAGTATACGAATTGTATTAATAGTAGAGAATGGATGTGAAAGTATTCGGCTGTGGCAAAATATCAGTTGAATTAAAACGGATATTATTATAATTATGCTAAAATTGACAGACAAGCTCATAAAAACAATTTTATATTCTTAAAACTACTGTAATCTTTATTATTGCAAACGAAAATATCTTCTACACAATGTAAGCTGTTTTACATCATGCTAGAACTTTAAAATCGTAATATTTTCCTGCAAAATTTATCTAAGCGCCAAAATTTACAAAAATAAGAAGAATTTTTATCTAATATATTTGGATTGTAAGTTAATTGAGCGAAACCTTCATGTTCAATCTTAATAAATGTCAACGGAAATAATTATTCTAAAAGTATCAGTACGAAAAATTCTCACATAGTAAAATCACATACGCACATATATCATAATAATTTAAATAAAAATCTTAATTATTCATATAATACATAACGTATATACTTACAACCAAGATATACAAATATTGAAGCTAATAGTAATGCGACTAGGAAACCTGCTATCACAATACATCCAAATTTTTGGCTATCTTTTAATTTTCTTCTTGTAAATCTAATATGTGAATCTGTTGATAAAACTGATTCTGATTTTCTATGATGTGAAGGTCTTAAATTTGTTATTTTATTGATATCATTATGATTATTATTACTATTACTATTATTACTATTATTATTATTATTATTGTTATGATGTCTACATCTAGATATTTCCAAATTTCTATGATTATGTTTTGAGACCTGTAAGTAAATACAAAACAGAAAGAGATTATTTAAATCTTTAATTAGGTAGAAAGTCAAATTAAATATAAAATTTTAAATTAAATGTAATTTTCAATATGCGCCTAAATTTATGCAATATTTTTTTTTTATATATAAAATTTATAAAGCAATTGTTAATTGCCACAAATCTTTTTCCAATATTATAACATTAAGAATTATAATTTATATTAAAAACACAAATGTATAAAATTAGATTAAAAAGAATATAACAAGCGTTTTAGCAGTATATTAATATTAAATTAAAGTTTGAGTATTACAACTGATGTAGCCATGAATACTTGATACTTATATTGTAAATAGAATTAATTCATTTGGTTTTATTTGGAATATTTTGTAGTATAAATTTAATTTTAGCATAATAAATAATTGTTAATTGTAATCAATTCCTCGGTACAATCAAATTTCTTAGTTTACATTATGATTGTGCTGCAAAAAAGAAGCTAAAGTTTCTGTAATAAATAAATTTGATTCTATTTTGAATAAATTTTATTCTATTTTGTAGGAATCACAGTCGATTGGAAGGAAATTCGAGTCAATTTTAAAATGGTAAAATCAAGGAAAGTTACTGAAAACTGACATAAGTTTTGTCAATATAAACTATAGTGTTTCGCTACTACTAAAAAATAACCTAAATCATACCGAATATCATCTCATATCAATCGAAATCAATCTTATATGGGATTTACACTGTTATATTAACACTGCTAACGTAATTCTTAGCATAGAACGGCTAATCTAACGACTTGGGTATAAAATTACAAATATGTGATGTCATTTTTGTTGATAACTTTTCGTAACTTTTGCAATATCTTTCATAACTTATCGTAATATTTGCTCTAATTTATGATTATTTGGTTGAATACTATGTTGTCTTGTAAATTATCAACCCATATTTCCAAATAAATTGAATATAATAAAAATTTTCCGCTGACACGTCAATATGATATAAAATTCTTCTTATTCTTATTTATAATGTTCTACTATAAACAAGAAAATTATCATAAAACTGAGTATACAAAAATATAATTTTTTAATTGTTTAAGCATTGTATTTCGAAATCTTCATAATTTTAAGACGAAATAAAATCACATCTTTGAAAAGAATGACCTGATTTCAACACCGCATGGCATATAAATTGTATATTTTACTTTATTTAACCTTTTCCTTGTTCTTTAAACTTTTACTTTCTGGATTTTATGCATGAAATCTGATTATTAAACCACTTTGCTGCTGTGTTATTTATTTTTCCCGCAAAAACCATCTAGAAGAAAAGAATGAATGATTTTTGGAAAAGGGTCATATTTATAATTATTTTTGCAACATTTATGATTTTCATTTTTTTTTATTCTTTGTAAAATAATTACAAGTCATAATTTTTATTATCGTCATTGTTATATACTGAAATGATTTAGCAACATCTTCTTCGTTTAAGAATATTGAAGATCTTTTTTATTTAATACATGACGTTAAAATACAGCGTTTCTTAAACTTTTTATTCATAATTTTTATTAAGTTGACACAGAAGTAATTAATTAAGTAAGTTGACATAATATAGAGCATGCTGATAATAAACAAATTTTTTTATGGAAAACGCTCTAATTTCTACTAAGATTTTTTCGCTCTTTTAACCTATAATAATAAAATAAGATCGACACGTCCTATCGAATTAAATTTACAAATACCGATTTACATACTATATTTTATATTGATTAAATAATTAATTAAATATTAACATGTAAGCTATATATGTATTAAACTCCAACATTTACAGGTTTGTAAACAAGTTTGAGGTGTGAGTACTACATTGTACCTTAAATGGCATCCAGCTTCCATGTCACGAAAATTAAATACATAATATTAAAACCAAATACATTCTATTATACAATTAAGTAATATTTCTTTAGCCTAAATATATGCAATTTTTTACTATATGTAATCTATGTCAAGACAATTACTTAAAGGCAAAATAAACATAAGAGTAAACATTTATAAAATCGTAACGTATAAAGATAGTGTTGAGACTAGACCTAGAATTGAAAACATGAAACGATGCCATAAGAAATTCATTAATTTTTGCGAACAAAGTAACAGTGAGATTGTAATTACAAAAATTGTGGAATGAGTTTTGATATCTCACTGATCCATGATATTTTCTGATCGTATGAATACAACGTTTCAAATTTTCTCAAATTTACTCAAAAAGCACTGTTTTATTACTACATATGTGCAAGAATAATTACAAAACTTTAACATTTTCATCATAATATTTTGAAAAAATTTTTTTTTTTTGTTTTTTGGAAATAGGTAAGCATATTATTTAAAAATATCAGGTCATTTTTAAAATAATACGAGAGAACAAAAGAAAAAATGAATGTAGTACCTACCTATATACTTGTTTGTTACAAAATTAAACGAGGAAATGCTTAAACCATCAATTTAGATTAAAATTAATTAAAGATATCAATGTTTTGTTACTTTATATAGCATTAATACAGTTATAATTTATACAAAACTCATATTATATCAACTACATAATTTATAAACATACTTTTAAGCTCTATACTTACCCAATATTCTTATATACACATTCACACATACTTATATGCAAATATATGTATGAATGTAGAGCAAGTGACCTTGCATCTTTTGCTCCAACTGTCTTTTTAACATTATTATTGAATTAAAATACCTTGTATAGACAAAATAGCTTAAAGCACTTATTTTTTTACGTTTTTCATATAAGAGTTTAACAAAAAAAAAAATTCAATCAATTGATTTAAGTTGAACTGCATCATTAATTTCTTTAGTTACGCAGCACAAAATAAAAAAAATAGAAAAATTAAAATTTTAAAATAATTTTGCTACAATAAATTTTTTTTTTGTAACTTGGTAAGATGCGATAGTTGGCTGTGATTTTTTGATTTTTTTTATTACAGGTGGTAAATTTATAACAAAAAGGGTACTCTCGTATGTGTGATGAAGTTTATGAGTAATTCATTAGATTATAAAATTGATTTGATCGCGTGTAAACAAAATATTTTCAAAATAATATCAAAATTTTTATATATATGTATTTAAACCTGCATGACTTAACGAAATTAAGACTATATAGTAAGGAATATATTGAGAAATAAAATAATAAAAGCAAAATAAAATTCAAGCACCTTTTAACTATATTTTCAAATTCTGTAGTAACGCTTAGATTAAATGAAAATCATTGTTGTTGTTTGATTTTTCACTTTACCTTTTCCAATTTTCTTATTGTTCTCTTAAAATATAGGTACCAACTCATAGTTTAACTAATTATACTTGTATAAATATAAACAAGTTATTTTTTATAATAAAAAAATATAAAAAGTTGAAAACTTTGATCTAAAAATTAATTCTGTTAAATGATTTTGTTCATGATAAGTTAACAAGCTGAAATCAATCAATTGAATTAATAATGAACTTTATAAGTGCATATTACGAAAATTATGATTACTAAAAAAAATTAAATAATTTATTTAATTCACTTAAATGATTTGTAAAGAGCACTTTTTAATGTTCGATATTATTTAGTTTTTTCAACAAGATTGGTTGCATATTATTAAATTCAACATATCTGAGTTGAATTCGGCTGTGACACTAAATTTTGTTACCACTTCTTGTATTTAACAATTTATCAGTGGAAGGACATTACCCAACAATTCTCATTGACAAACAAACGTCACTATTTCTGGTACATACGTTAATTTATAATCCGAGAGTTTTTCAACAGCAAAATTCTACTTGGATAGATTTTCAGAAAGTAATAGCTTTTATAAAAAAAACAAAACTTCGAGAATTTTTAACAATCTTTTGGATTGCAACACCACTGGTACGTTTTACAATTTAATTGGAAATTCAATCAAAAACAGGTGATATCCAACGATTTAATCCACTAAGTAATGAACATTTTGCAAAATACTTAAGTCTTACAACGTCTTACTTGTACGGATTATATGTGATGGCATAGTTTTGGTAAGCTTTATTCTAGTCACACATTACAGATGTCGTGTAAAGTAAAATGAATTGGTTAATTTAAAAACATTATGAATGGTATATATTATATAGCTCATAAAATATTATATGTGTATGTTTTGTCATCCACGGATTATATGTAATAACTGCGAATCCCAATCTTTTGTATATTTGAAATATATTTTAAGTTTATTTTTAGTCAAAAATTGTAAAGTTTTATTCGATATATATTTTTATTAATTTTCAGCTTTTTTGTCAAATAATTTAAAATGTTACAGCACTTAATTATTTGATTCATAAACATACGTTCCCGTTACTCCAAGATTCTCGTTATAAAATTTTATAAAGAAACCTGAATTTGATAAATGAAAAATATGCGTTAACGTGAAAAATTAGTAGTAATGATTTAAGAAAAAATTAAACAAATTGTATCAATTGTGTGAATCACTTCTGCAGCATAATTCGAATGTTAACCAGAATTATGTTTGCTTTTCATCTTACTGCACATGATGAAACTCGTGAAATACATCAACACATGTGATACCACTGAAATTTTTAGCTCATAATCATGATTTTGGCTAAAATCTCTTTTTAAATTACATAAACATTATAATATACACCTTCTTTATCTGTCAAGTGAGTCAGTTCGTAAAAATTATATAAATAAATTTTTTATAAACAAATTTTGATCTAAAATAAAAATGTACTAAATTTGACGAATCGCAAAATTGGGAAAATTTACTTTAATTACAATAAAATTTATTTCGATTGCAGTTTAAGTTGAATTTAATGGTCAAAATATTTAATTTTATGCAGAAAAAAATATGGTTAACAAAGAAAGTAAAAAAAAACGTAAAATTAAATTAGTCTTACTTTTTATTTTTTTCAACCAAACTGGTTCAATAAATTAAACAAGGTTAAATTATAATATCGTAGTAAAATAGTGGCAAACGAAT